TATATATATATATATATATATATATATATATATTTAATTTTTGACTATCTCTGTTTCTTTTCTGCTATTCTCAGCAACAGTTTATCTCGAGAAACAATTTCAACTGTATTGCTTCACCAATCAATAATCAGTTATGAAATTTTTCCTCTTGTGTGTCTTAATTTTTTCACTTTTTTCAAACACCGCTTCAAACTTTATTTACTTAAGGTTTTGTAAACTATGCTGCATTTTATTCTTCAACTTCTTTTTTCCAAGACCTATCGCTATAAGGGTTTACCATTTTGCATAGTAAACAAAATCAGAATTCAAATTTTTACTTTTATTTCCACACTACAATTTGGAAAAAAAAAAGGAAAACAAGCAAAGACCAATTAAGAACATATTTGTTAGCTTAGTCAAATGCTGAAAATTACTGTTTAATAGCGTAACTTTACTTATTGAATTTCTCGACAATAACCTTACCGCAATAAGAACTTTGACTGCATTGAGACTTGACTGCATACGCGGTGTACGAAAAATTATCAAATTATTGAGCAATTAACTATTACCAGAAAAAAATATTTAAAAAAGAATAGCTGTTCAAATTTTTTTTGTTTTTATATTTGCAACAGTAACAGTAAAAATAACTTTTATTTCTTTCTATTTCTTCTTTTTTTATTTTTTTTTTTTGAGCTAACAAACATTGGTTTCTGTTGTCAGCAGCAACTAAGCTAAAGGTTGAAAAAAAAATAAACTAAAAAATAAATTTGCACCAAAAAACTACGTCACTGAGTAACAGTGATTCAAAAACAATAATTAATTTTGTTTAAGTCTTTTTTTTCAATTTTTACAACAAATAAATAATAAAAAAATTTTCAGAAATCTTTCCCGTATCTCTCTAAATATAATTTCGAGATACACTTCGTTATTTTTGAATGTATATTTTTGACTCAGTTACTGTTTATAAAATTTTCTTCACATGCAACTGTATATATCAGTTCTAGCACTTTAGCTCTACTTGGTTTTCTTTCACGAATTGTACAATTATTCTAAGAGCATATGAATAAAGCCGTTTTGCATACCAAATCAATATTTAATCTACTAAATTTTCAAAAAAAAAAAAACTCAAAAATTTTATAGACGAATTGGGGAGTATTCGAGGCAAATAAGGTGTTCACAAATGCTAAAATTTTCTTTTTATGTTGATCAACTAAAAATTTTTTAACAAACTACTTTTCATATTACGTTTTTTCGTTAACGCCACTTGTAATCATACTGACGCTGTACATGGTAATGTTATTTCAGGTAAGATCTATAAATAATTAAAATTAAAATTAATAGTAACTTTGGAAGTCTTAGATGTCATAAAACATTGATGACAGTGGTCAATAGTTCAAGATTTCAATGGCAAACAGAAAACTTTGCAATCGAACGGTAAAATATCAGCGATGCGAAACCGTATTGTGATATGCCTTATTGATGTCATTTTAGTGGCTACAGTCAACCTATGGGCAGGTAAGGCAGTACAGATGTTTAGACTTTTGTAGACTCGTAAACTACATATATATTAGTTAAAACACTCAGTAATCTAGAAACAGCCATTCCAGACCTCTTAATAATCTCTAGTCTGCGGTCAATCTCTAAAATCTTTCTTCCAAAGCATTAGAACTCTATGCGATACTGCTGTAGTAAAAAGAACAAATTTTATTGCCATGTAATAGATCTTAATAAAATTTGTTAAGATGGAATGGTTTTCTTGAAATACGATTCAAAGAGCAGAGAAGAAATGATCTGTTAGCAAAGTCTCAAGAACATTTTCCTCTAGATTGACTTCTTTCTTCTTACCTAATTATATTATTACCTTAAGTAACTTTGAATAACAGCACAATTTGTAGTCTTGGTCAATATTTATCTGTCATTTTAACCAGCCACTACTTTTCAGAAAAAATTTTTTTTATTATTTTCAATGTTATCAAGTCAGATTTTGTCCTGCTCATCTCTTTCCCTTCTTTTTTTTCTTTTTACGTTCTGTTGCTCAAAAAATTCAGCTTTATCAATGCATTTACTATTAGCTTTACGTAACTGAACTTGGCAGTACATCTGTCAGAACTAACTTTAAATCTTTCTTAAGTTATCAAAAGCTGGCAGTTTCCTTCTCTGACATTCTTTACCGCTTCTAATCGACATGTATCTGCTTTCATCAAGACTTGAGCTTTTGGATAAGTAGAGACACAAAATACAATAACGCGGCTTAAAAGCACTACTACTTCCTTGGCACCTCTTACTGTAAACCCCAAGTAGAAATGCCCGTTTTCTAAAGTTCAGTACTAAAACTATTGCCTAGCAGAATTGAAAAATAAGTGCATCTTCTCTTTCCAATTGCAAGTCAAAATTTTCATACAAAAATCTAATTACATTTGTTATTTTTATGGAAATTTACGGGTAATTACCGTTTTCAGTTGTCGTCGAAGCATCTGATGACGAAGATCGTTTAATAGCTCATATTTTGAAAAATGTTAATCCACTTATACGCCCTGTAATGAACGCTTCATCGCCACCATTGATCGTCAGTATGACTGTACAGCTTGTCTACATCATCAAAGTTGTAAGCTTAAAGTTTTCTCAAATTTTATTTTACTGTTTTTTGTTTGGTGTTATTTGAAATGTTGCTAAAAAATGATTTTTTATTTTGACAAAGATGATAAATCAAAGTCTAAAAAAAAAGCTGTTGATGTAACAAAAGAAGACAAAACAAAAAAAACTTCTTCAATTCTTATTAGCTGTGAAAAAAAGTTTTATAAATTCCAGATCGAAAGAAATCAGATTATGCATACCAACGTTTGGCTAACATTGGTAGGTAAAGAAGTTTTTCTTTTTTCAGAGAAAGTACTATAGTTTTTGTTTCTTCTATGAAATTATAGCTGAAAAAATATAGCTGTAAAAATGATTTGCATAAAAAAATTGTCTTCCTTTCAGCACTGAAAAATTTCACGTACTTATCAAAATAAGGCAACAAAATCAAAAGCAGAAAGATTACATTTGAGCAAAAGGATTAACCGAAAACAGTAGGCATTTAATCAGAACAATTTTTGGAGATGATGAAATATCAAAAGAATAAATGACAAAATTTTAAGGTTCTTTAATGAACTTAACATTGAAACGTTTACAACTACTGCAGTTTTTAAAAAGTGCTATATCATTAATAGAATTTAAAAACTGTATAAAAAAATTAACAGTTTTTTAAAACTTATTTATCTAGTTTTCCGAAAATTTTTTTATCTAAGTGAATAAATTTATTTTACAACAAATTTACTAATTTCTTTTAATAACAGTAATTTTGGTAATTTTCTCTGCCAAAAAGTTATAATTATTTCAAGCAATTAGAAGCAATTTCGGCACGAAATACTGTTACATTTTATTTTGCTGTTAAAAAAGTACTGAAAAAATATATTTTAGCAATGGAAAGATTTTCAAATGCGATGGAATCCGGTACATTTTGGTGAGTTAAAAAAAGTACGTGTCGCATCTGATAAAGTTTGGTTACCGGATATTGTGCTTTTCAATAAGTAAGTTTAATTCTTTAAAAAAAAAAATAAAAAATCGTTTTACTTTTCACTAAAATAGTTTACAAAACGACTGCTTCAGTGCTGATGGAAATTATGAAGTATCGTTTAAACCAAATGTTGTTATTGAATATACGGGTCAAATGTTATGGGTTCCACCAGCCATTTACAAATCTTCTTGTATTATCGATGTCGAATTTTTCCCCTTTGATGAACAACAGTGCCATATGAATTTTGGATCTTGGACAGTATGCAAAAGTTTAACTTTTAGTATCACAGTTGATGTAAAAGCATAAAACTGCTAAAAAATTTTTTGTTTTTTAAACAGATTACAAATAAGCAGTGAAAAATTGCTGTGATCACTGTCGTTGCAGATTTGATATTGTTTTCTAAATTCTAATAAGCTGTTTTGACTGAAGCAATATTACCATTATTTTGACTAACTTATTTTTCATCCAGAAGCACAATCTGGGGGGGACTATCTTTAGCACTCAATTCTCAGCTTCTTAAGCAAAAATTCTGCAGACAGTGCTTATTCAAAAAAAAAAAAGCAGTACGCATTTTTTATTGATACTTGTTTACTTGCATATCAAATAATTCTGTTACAGTACAATGAAAATGAAATAAAACTTGACTTTGTGGAAGGAGCATATATGGATATATCAGAATATCGAACCAGCTCAAGTTGGGATTTAATTGACGCACCGGCTAGTCTAGTAAAGAATAAATCCTGGATAGAATACCAAATAATTATAAGGTGATCGAGAAAGTAACACTTGTCGTGTTCTTCATTGAACATTCTGCAGTTGTGACTACCTTTGTTTGGCTTTTTCTTTTTTGTAACTTTTATTTTCAAGCTTTTAGGACATAAGTTTCAATAAGATCCAGTGACTAGTATGACTTTTTAATTTACAAAACTGACAAATATTGCCAATATTTTAGTAACAGATTAAGGTTTTTCGCTTTATTGCAGAAGAAAAACATTGTTTTATACAGTGATGCTTATCATTCCAACAGTATTGATGGCTTTCCTCAGCGTTGTTGTCTTCTGCTTACCTACAGATTCACGTCAGTTTTATCATTTTATTTTAATTTTTTGATATCTTACTAACCTGTAAAACAAAATGATTTTTTAACTGTTTCACAAAATTTTACATTATTTATTTTTGTGTTTTAAATTTTATAAGCTTTCTTTTGTATTTAATCATGCGAAAATAAGAATGTCATTTCAAATCGGTACTGAAAAGAAAAAATAGTGCTGTTAAACTTCTTTTGTCTTTTTGCAGGAGAAAAAATAACGTTAACGATTCAACTACTACTTTCAATTGTTGTTTTCTTGTTATTGGTTTCAAAAATATTGCCACCCACTTCTTCAACAATTCCTTTGATGGCCAAATATTTACTGCTAACATTTGTATTGAATGTTATCACTATTTTGGTTACCGTTGTCGATATCAACGTATATTTTCGTGATCCATCAACTCATTCAATGCCTGATTGGGTTCGCTTCATATTTCTCGAGGTATCATCACTTTCCTGTTTTTATCGACTTCTGAATCACTAACTGCGTAGTTAGCAAAATGCATCATCCAGAATACTTTTGCAGTTTATGCCAAAAATGCTTTGTTTGAAAAAACCACGATCAGCGTTTCACAAATTTGTTCGTGAAACACAAAACGTACAGTGCAGGAGGAAGTCATCAGCATCACGACCACATCCGGTCCTGCAAATGAACTTGCACCATCCGCTTTGTTCAACAGTTGGAAATAATCTGTCAGTTTGTTTTACTGACTTATTTTGACTTACCTGGAGTTTTTTGTTCTTTAGGAGTCAGAAAGTGACCTACCGCATTTTTTTTCATACAGTTTTCTAGTAAAATTTGTTGAGGGATATCAAAAAAAATTCGAGTAAACCCAGCGATCCAGTACCGGCGATCGAACTGACTCATGTTAATCGTATTAATGAGGCGCTGGGTGAGCGAGATCCAATAACCACACCATTTTACCCGTTAACCAAAGAAGCTATAGATGCTATCAATGCGATTGAATATATCACAGAATATATCAAAGAGAATGAAGAACAAAAAATGGTTAAAAATTACAACTTCTTTTGGTACTTTTTACTAACATTTGATCATTTTCAACTGGTTAAAAAATTTTGTTTTTCCAGAAGCGTGAAGACTGGAAGTATGTTGGATTGGTCATTGATCGCTTTTTGCTTTATATATTTGTTGGTATAACACTTGGTGGTACGCTTGGTATACTCCTGTCAGCACCACATATTCTTGAAACAGTGGATCAGAAGAAAATTATTGATGAAATTAGGCATCATTATACAAGGAATGACCTGTAATATTATACAACACATTTCAAACAACGCACTCTTTGCAACGATACAGTTAAAGTACAAGAAAAAAACCATCGAAGTCTTTTTTAATAAAAAGTAATAGAAATTAAATGTTACTAAGTATTTTTTTCGGTTTGTTGTGCAACGACAAAAACTGTTAATGACTATGTAAAAAACGATACATTCTCTTGTCTTTATTTGGCTCTTTTCACTTATACTTAACTAAAAAAAAAGTTTTGTTTCGTTCTGTAAACTTAAACATTTCGGAGTTTTCTGTTGTTCCTTTGCTGTTTTTTTTTACCTTTTTCTCCATTTTGCTAAGCTGTTTAATCAGTGTAAAACATGGAAAAAAATTTGACTGGTAAAGCCCTGAGAGTTTGTAGACGCATTATATTTGACAGTTTTTTGAGCTGACTGTTGCAAAGAACTGTGCCATAAATTATTTATTGTCAATTAGTTAATTTTAGTTCTTTCCACTTCTCATGCATTTGCATTTCAGAGAACAGAAAGAAACCAAAAAATGTATCAAAAAAAAAACGACAGTTTTTTCAGCAGCTAGTTAAATAACGACCCCAAGTCTGACAAAGAATTTCAGATACTTTTAGTGAAACAAACGACCGACAACCCGTTTTGTTCAAAACCGATCTAAAGCATAAAATTCACAGTTCCAGTGTACTAGCGAAACACATCGTACAGCATTTCTCTCAGTAACGGTCACTGTCACTACATCTTCGGGTGATCCAAAAGAATATTATGGAGAAGAAACAAAAATTGGACATAGAGAACAAACCAGAAAATAGTAATTTGCACATACAACCAAGGAGAAGCAAAATCCCCCATGCACATGCACAATATTTCTTGCAGTAATAAGTAAGAAGATAAATTTAGATGCAGATCTGTGCCATAAAGCCTTTTGTTTAATATTTCTTGAATTAGAAAAATTCAGAAGCAGGATTTGAACGCAAATTATTAGAGCTAAAAACCAACGATAAACTAGCTGTCTAGTATCGTTATCCTTAGAAACAATTTAAATATATCACTAGTTTAATAAGAATTAAGAACCCGGAACAACTACATAAAATAAAGAGGCGAATTTCTGAAAGCAAAACAACGTACAGGGTATTTGTTTTCTATTCCACTACACTCGTGACATGTGCACAGGCTGTCATGTTAGGTTCACCTATGGCTTTTATTATGCTATTACCTCTATATTTTCCAAAGGATTTTGCATCTTCTCTTTAATTTTTCTTCTAATTTTGCCCAACAGATGAAAGAATATCTTTCTTTTGTTGATTGACTACGTAATGCATTGGTTTTTTGCTTCTTTAAAATTTGTCTGCGTCTCAACCAAAAGCTTCTCACTAATTATAGTTTCAGAATAGCTTCACTCACTTAATAAGTACCTTTAAATGTTGAAGAATACATGTGATGTAATTCATTATTCCTGCAGCACCTCAAGTGCGAAACTTGCAGTTTTCATAGAAACTCTCTCTACGCCTATCTTTTTTGCTGAGAGTTACGTTTCAGTGTCTCTAACTCTTTTTAGTTCCATACCGGAGCACGCCTAGCAGGCTTAGTCCACAGCTCATACAAATGCTGTAGCAGGTCTTTAGTCAACGCTGGGCATCTAATTCAGTAGAGCAGCAGCATGGCTCATTACGGTCCTCATGCACGACACAACAGATATGGCAACCCAAAGCGTTAATGCTTCACCACCACGTAAACTACGCAAGGCTTTGTGCCTAATTGAATCCCTACCGTTTAATGTCCTAACCCATCCCTTTCTGATCCTAAACAGTCTTGTGTTCCGCTCTTATTAAGTCGAGAAGCTGCCTCTGCTTATAAGTAGAGGTCAGAAGAAAAAGAAATAGTAATGAGTAAATGCTAGAAAGCCCGAGATTTTCCTCACGTTTCTGTTGTAGAGAAGGAGTTGCAGCTTTTCAAGCTTGGTTTGAATGTGCTGCTGTTCTGCTCTTCCCAGGCAGCTGGCTGACACGCTACATAGCTGAACTTTTCCGGTCTCCTTTTATTTATAGTTGTAACGCAGGATAATTAACTTCGATCCTTACGTAAGAATGTTAAGAAAACGGAACGAATGGCTTTTGTGGAGTTAAAACAACTTGGAGTAGCAAATCGCCGGCGAAAAGTAACTGTTTGTATCGAATCTTAACGTAACAACTAAGGCATTGCAAGCCTAAAACTTTTGCTGAACTTCCACTATCTAAAATACCGCAATAAATAAAAAGAGCCGCCTCTTTCGATCATTTTTTTTGGCCTGTCCAGCCTAGAACTAGCATTTTCCAGAACAACCCAATTAGCTTACTCCTCGTGTGTACGGCACTTGCCGGTCCGTACTTAACCTGACTATTAATCAGCTACTACAGCAAAGTGTGTGCTGGCACAGTGTCTTTATAACAGCACTGGTCAAACAAAAGCAGTCAACTGATATTCGTTTGGGAGCTTCGTCCGTGAGCTGTAGTATGCTTATTTCCAAAAAAGAGGCTCTGTCTGGCTGACAATTTTGGTGAGCCGTTGTAAAAATAACCAAATTTGTATTGAATGCCTTTACGCAGCATAGGACAACACTTTGCTATCGCTGTACTTGCAAGAGTTGTATAATCTAAACGGTTTTTTTGCCTTGCTTTTGCTTTTACCTACTCTTTGCTTTCAGGTTTTTGAGAAACTGTTTTTTTTTTTTTAATTTTGCTGTTAAATTAAGTTAGTAGACCCTTGTTTTACGTTTGAAACGAGTAAATATTTTTGAGATATTTTTCTTCCATTGCATTCTCTTCAGAAATAAAATGTTGTTGGGTAGAAAATATCTTATGATATAAAATGGTATTAATAATTATACTTCAAAAATTGGCTGTATTTCTGTATTCAGTACTGCTGGAAAAGCAGAATAAGCGCAGCGCAACTGTAGAGGTAATCTGCTGCTCGTTTACATTTCTTGAATATCATTAGACTCACCTCAGAAATAACTTTTTCAACAAAAACTCTACTTCTGCTTCTTTTCTTTCTGTCTAAATGCGGTTGTCGTTGAGACGAAGAAGTAAAAATTACGCATAAGAAAAAGTTGAAATTATTTTTTTTTTGCCGTTTAGCAAAAAGAAGGCATACAATAAAAGTTTAAATAATTTTCTCTCATAACACTTGAAAAGATTTTTTTTCTTTTTTAACTTCTTTTTTAAACTTAATTTCTTAAATAGGTTCTGAATGCTCTTTACAGTGTTTGAAGCAAAAAAAACGGTTACTGCCTGTATCCAACCAATGTGGTTTTCATTTCCTTAATTTTTTTTGTTTTGTTTTTTTAGTACGTTTAAAATTTCTAGTAGATTAAAGACTTAACGTTTAGCAGTAGGAGCAGCTGTAGCAATACTACCGGTAGCATTTCTTGTCTCGAACTTTTTAGACGTTGTAACTTATCTGGAAATATCTTACATTTGTAAGTCACGGCTACAAAAGATTAGGTAATTAATTGTATTTTTTAAGTTTGAACTTTCTTTTCTCAAAAAGATTACATCGTTCTCGTATAATAATAAAGATACGTTATATATTAAACGACTTTATTTCTGAGTGTCTAAATTTGTTTCACCGTACAATCGTAGTGCATAAAGTTTGCTTGACAGAGCAGTAAATAAAAGTTGAATTGCTAACTGCAGTGAACAGTAGCCCAATATTGAGAATATAACTTTCCTACGCAAATCATACTGGTAAACCCTTCCAGCGTATGTAACTGTCAACAAATTTTGATTTTTAAACGTTTCTTTGAAGTTCTAATGAACACAAGTTCAGCAAATTTTTATCTTTTTATTGCTTTATAGACTTCAAGATTTGAAAGAAAAAAAACTTTTTTGTTATACTATTAAAACGTTGGGTGAAACAGTGCTTGAGATTGTTAGACTTTTTATTCTAAGAGCACTTTAACGATTATTATGAAAAAATGTAGAAATAATGATCAGCTAAGTTAATGAAAAGAGAAATAATGTTGTTGAACAGCATACATCTCACTGTGTAATGAGGTATTCGCAAAAGTTCTTTTTTTTGATCTAACATTCTACAAGTAAAATTCCTAATTAGAATTTTTACTGAAGAAATTATTGAAAATCAGTGGTCTTAGTGTACTTCAGATAACTGCTTGCTGAAGATCATAGCTTAGCGAGTATTTCTACAGATCATCATCAAATTCTCCTGCGCTTTAACTTATCGATCTTACTGTCATCGTAGAAATGTCGGGCAATCATTTTTGGATGAATGAGCGTTATACGGCAGATACACTGGTGATTAGAATAGTAATTCAATATGAAAAGACTGTTTAGAGTGAAAGTCAGATAATAAGTAATTCATGTAGCGTCAGCTGTTTTTAAGAAATAATTGTCTTTGCTTTCAGATGTTCATATGCTCAAAAATAAAAAAAAAAATACAAAAACAATAAAGTCTTAGGTAATATAAGACTTTCTGATTTTCAAAGTTGTATACATTACTTTTATGTAGGCAAACCAGCTTTTTTTAAAATACAGTACCAGTAGCAACAACGATAACAGCAATTATCAATCAGCATGATTGTCGCTTAGTCCCCACATTGATATGGTCATTTTTAAGCTTATTTAATATCACTGATTATGCCTTCACTTATCAATTTTTCAATTCGCATTTCTTCGGTAAACATCCGACTGTCTTCTTTTTCTGAAAGATCTGCTAGAAACAAAATGACCACTGTGACGGGTGTGAAAGATAGCGTTTTTACAGCAGAAATGAGCATTTTTTGGGCTTTAGTTTAAAAAAAAAGCAATATAATGACTTTCAAGAACTCATAAAATGCCAAAACAACAACGACAAAAGAAAAGGAAAGAAACGAAAGCAAAAACAGGATTTAGAATTGAGAGTGTAAAAATCTGTCGAACTTTTGCGATAAAATGAGGATAGTTGTTCAACAGTTTATTAAATCAAATAGCAGCTTTTTAAAGTGCTGAATATTGTATATGCATAAACATATATTTTGTGTCACTTTAAGAATAGAATAATTTGTTACAGATGATGACCAATTGATGTTAATACTGCTATCTTTTAGATAATTTAGATAAATAACATAGCTATTTAAATATTCTTCTCGCTCTGTTCTCTGAAAAAATTCAGCACATTATCTTACTGCTTTTGTGATTCTTATATCTACTACTTTTCGTTCTTCTTCTTTAGTATTTGTCATAACAGTACTGCCACTAAATTGATCTCAACTGAATTCCTTAAAACTTTCTTACTTTCATAAATGAATTTATATATTTTAAGCTGCGAAAAAACAGTTCTTTTCTAAGTGAACATTTTTTGCCCGTAGTAAAACTTTAAAACAATTTTACACTCAACAGAACAGTAAATTAAATGAGAATAAACAACAGCAACAATTGTCTGTCATTGGCGGTTTGATGTAAATCTTAGAAATAAAAAATTTCCTAGAAATTTTTGACTATTAATTTTTTGCTTTTGATCAGAAATGACATTTGTGTATTGAGGAAAAAAATAAGTAACCATTGTTGCTTCTCAATCTTTCAACAGCATCCTTTATCTTATTTTTTTTTACTTGATTTTCAGATTTCTTAATCACTACAAACATTTGTTTTTTTATCCCTGCAACTTATAAGATTTCATTGGTCTTTGTTTGCTGTTTTTTTTACAGCTAAAATATCACTTATCAGTCATTTGAAATAATTGTGCTAAATCGTTTTGTACACATCAACTTGCTCATTGTGTCTGTTGACGTTAAAGTTTTTAACTACTATTATTTTATGAGCTCTGTAAAATAGCTAAAAATTACCTTCATTTTATAAATATATTTGTGGCGAAATTTGATAGTGTCGTAGGGTGACGTCTGAATCTTTCAGTTATTGCTTTTCGGTATCATCTGAAGGGTAAACGATCACAGTTACAAATATTCATTTATGCTTACATCATTATTATTATTATTATTATTATTATTATTATTAGTAT